ACAACCCCACCTCCATCTCCATATCCTCAAACTCAATATCCTCAATCTCCATATCTTCCATCTACATATACCCCAGCTCCACAACCTATATCTCCCCATCACATGCCCTCATATTACTAAAATGCTCATCCACTGTACCAACAAGCCACATATCATGTCTATAACACCCAGCTTGCATAATTCCAATCCCCACCACCTACTCACACACCAAATTATCGAAACAGACCTCCATATGAAAGAAGACCCACAAAAAAACTATACCCTTCTGGCCGAATCCATAGCCTAACTTTATGAGTGGTTGAAAGAGGCTAGCTATGTTACCCCAATCCCTGCATTGCCTGTAGATGTCCACGCATAATGGTATGACCCTAACAAGGTATGTGCTTATCATTCTGGGATGAAGGGTCATACTACTGAAATTTGTAGAGCTTCGAAAGATAAGGTTCAAATGTTGATTGATACAAAAGGCCATCCAGCTCAAGGATCATGCACTAAATGTTGAAAACAATCCTCTTCCTAACCACCATGTCAATATGGTAAAAGTTGGTGATATGGTGGATTTGGAGGGATCCATTTGATTCCTCGAGCTAGAAGAAGCCATGACTTCTACCATCAATATGCCAGTTGTAGTGCAAAGGCGTGCTCCTTTTGAGGTTGAGGTCGCCATGCCTAGTCCCCCATTCAATGTCCTTAGAGCTCCTCCCCTTATCCCATATGATACCCATGTTGTTCCATGGGATTACAGAAAAGGAAAGGCAAAAGTTGAAGAAGCAGACATTGCAGCGGGAGTGAATAGATCCGGTAGAATATACACTTCCGAGAATTTGGTTCAGGGTAGCACTAGAAAATCCAAGCCACTAATTGTAGAGTTTGAAGAGCAGGGTGTCTAGAAGAAAGTGCAAGCCAAAGAATACTCTATATTGAGAAATTGAGTAAAACCCCGTCCCAATATCCATCTTGTCATTGGTGCAATCTTCTGAAACTCATCGGAATGCCCTTTTGAAGGTTTTTGGTGAAGCTTATGTCCCGTCTAGCATCACTCATGGGGAGGTACATGAAGATGAGCTACCACTTGAAGGAACATCCCACAATAAAGCCTTGTATATCTCTGTTCAATACCAGAATAAGGTAATCACCAAAGCTTTGGTTGATTCAGGTTCTGGTTTGAACATCTGTCCTCTGAGCACGTTGACAAGGTTGGGCGTGGATAGTGCGAAGATACAAACCTGGAAGATGAATGTGAGAGCATTTGATGATTCTCAGAGGGGAATATTGGGTAAATAACCTTGGACATGCTCATTGGCCCTGCTACCTTCCCAATAGCTTTCAAAGTCTTTGACATTCCAACCTCATACAGCCTATTGTTGGGTCGTCCTTGGAATCACATAGCTGGAGCAGTTCCATCTACTCTTTACCAATAGTTGAAATTTGAATGGGATCATGAATAAGTGGTAGTCCATGGGGAAAGAAGACATCATGTAAATGTGATTAAAGGAAGAGGTCATCTAGACGGTGAGATGTTCCATACGGTAGAGCTTGTTGGCGACATTGAAGTGAAACTGTGGTTTATCCAGAAGATCATAGACATGATGGCCTGGTTTAGTTGTAAACTTGGGAAAGGTTTGGGGGCCAGATTACAACAAATAGTCGAGCCTATACAAATCGTTCGTCATTCAACCACTTTTGTCCTGGGATATAAATATACTACCGATGAGTGGCTTGATTGGCAATCACCTATAGATGGGTACTACTACCTATTGAGGCATCCCATACCATCGTTGCACCAATTATTTCTATCAGCCGGGTTCATGGGGAGTATCACCGATGAGCTTCCAGAGGGCATGAACGATTTTTCTTTGACCAAGGAGGAAGGGAAGGTTTGTAATGTCGTGATCAACAAGGAGGAGAAAGGGGACCCTAGAGGAAGCAAGGAATCAAATATCGACATCAGCAATTAGACCTAAACTCCATACAGACGTTGTCGGGGATCTGGGTAGCTTTGGAAGGTGTTTTCTATCATGTTTTTAAAAAGTTTTCAATAAACAGTTTTTCAGTTCCAGATCTCTTTTATTGTTTTCAAGTGCTAGTATTATGAAACTCTTGAGTTTTAGCAATAAAATTCTTTTCCCAATTATTTAATATCCTATATTTATGTGTGTTTAATTCTTTCTTCCACCAATTGTTTTTATAAAAATATTGAATCTGAGACTGTGGCACATAATGAGACCACACAACTTAACATTAATGACCTAGAAGAGGTTGAAGAAGGGGAAGTCCATAAAGAGTTGATCAGAGAAGTTGAGGAATTCGAGGAAAAGTTCAATCCATACTCAGTAGAAACGGAAGTGGTAAATCTGGGAAGTTTGGAGGTAACACAAGAGACCCGAGTAGGCATCCATATGAGGGAAGATAAATAGAAAGGTATACGGAGTGTCTCATAGAGAATAAGGATATATTCGCTTGGTCCTATGGAGACATGATAGGGCTAAGCACTTCCATAGTAGCTCATCGGATGCCCACTGATCCAGCCTGCCCACCAGTGAAGCAGAAGCTAAGAAAATACAAGCATGAGTTAAGTTTGAAAATCAAGGAGGAAATATCAAAGCAATTGAGGCTGGAATTCTTCAAGTGACGGAGTATCCAACCTGGCTTGCAAACATCGTTCCAGTGCCCAAGAAAGATGGAAAGGTCAGAGTTTGTGTGGATTATCGGGATATCAACAAGGTTAGTCCCAAGGACAATTTTATGTTGCCCAATATACATATCATAATTGACAACTCTACTAAGCATGAAACACAATCATTGGTGGATTGCTTTGTTGGTTATCATCAAATTGAGATGCACAAGGTCGATGCTGAGAAAATTGCTTTCATCACACTGTGGGGTGTCTACAACTACAAGGTGATGCCTTTTGGGTTAAAGAATGTTGGGGCTACATACATGAGGCCAGTGATTACTCTGTTTCACGACATGATCCATAAGGAAATTGAAGTTTATGTGGATGATGTCATCATTAAGTCAAAGAAGGATTCGAATCATCTGGATGATTTGCGAAAGTTCTTTGCCAAACTACGCAAGTATAACCTAAAGCTGAATCTTGCAAAATGTGTCTTTAGTGTACCTGCTGGAAAGCTACTGGGTTTCATTGTCAGCCACCCGGGTATAGAATTGGATCCATCAAAAATCAAAGTCGTTCATGATCTTCCTCCCCCGAAGAGTAAGAAAGAGGTAATGAGTTTCTTGGGGAGACTTAACTACATCAGTCGTTTCATAGCCCAGTCTATTGTCATTTGTGAGCCAATTTTCAAGTTGTTGAAGAAGGATGATGCGGTGAAATGGACAGACGAGTGTCAACAAGCATTTGAAAAGATCAAAGATTATTTGTCCAATTCTCCTGTGTTGGTTCCACACAAATAATTGAAATTAAATTTCTTTATCTGTTTCTTCAATTTTTGGAAACTTCTAAAGTTCTTCCGTCAAACCTTGATCAATGAACCTACAAAATCCTTCAAAATTGTATCTGATTAAATCCAGGCATTGTAGATATTCCCTCATTTCCATCCCCGAGCACTTTAAATTTCCCATTTAGCAAAAAATCCCACTATTGGTTCATTCTGCATCTAATTAGATAGATTAGATAAATGATCTAGCAATGATGGCTTTTCTATTTTGTTTACCGAATCACATGAAATTTTACCCAACTCCATATTTGGAATGTATGAAATACGTATGAACGGAGGAAGAAAGAAAATTTTATGTTGGTTCCACCCGAATCTGGTAGGCCATTGTTGTTGTACATATCGGTATTGGATAATGCCTTCAGCTACATTTTGGGGCAACATGATGAAACAAGAAAGAAGGAGCAGGTGATATATTACATGAGCAAGAAGTTTACATCATATGAAGCTCGATATTCTCTATTGGAATGTACATGTTTTGCTTTAACTTGGGTTTGCTCAGAAGTTGCAACACTACCTCTCCTCGCACACTACTTATCTGATTTCAAGGATGGATCATCTGAAGTATATTTTCAAAAGCCCATGCCCACAGGTAAACTGGCTAAATGGCAGATACTTTTGAGCGAGTTTTACAGTGTATGTTACACAAAAATCAATGAAGGCACAAGCATTAGCAGATCATATGGCGGAGAATCCTGTAGATGATGATTACAGACCATTGAAGACTTACTTTCTAGATGAGGAAGTATATTTCGTGGGGGAATACATCTCTAAAGATTATGATGGTTGGAGGATGTTCTTTGATGGAGCCAAAAATTTGAGCGGATCTGGCATCAGAGTTGTTCTAATCTCACCAACTGGGCAACCTTATCCGATATCGGCGAAAATCAGACTCATTTTCTCAAATAACATGACCGAATATGAAGCTTGCATATTGGGACTCTGACGGGCGATTGAGTTGGATGTCCAAGAAATACTAATAATAGGAGATTCAGATATATTAATTCATCAAGTTCAAGGCGAGTGGGCAACAAAGAATTGGAAGTTGTTACCATACTTGGAGTGAGTTCATAGGTTGTGCAAAAGCTTTATCAAGGAAGAATTCAAACATGTACCAAGGATCCAGAATGAATTCGCAGATGTCTTAGCCACTTTGTCCTTTATGATTCAACATCATGATCATAAATACATCGATCCCATTTGCATCATATATATGAGCAACCAGCATACTACTTTCATGTTGAGGAAGAGCCTGATGGAAAGCCTTGGTACAATGATGCACGATAATATTTGAAGAATGGTGAGTATGCAAAAGATGCAACAAGTGTACAAAAACGCACAATTCGAAGGTTAGCAAATCAATTCTTTCTAAGTGGAGAAATCCTTTATAAGAGGACTCCCGACTTGGGTTTGCTAAGGTGCGTCGAAGCTGGAGAAGCTAACAGATTTATTGAAAAGATACACGCAGGAACATGTGGTCCCCATATGAACGATTTTACATTGGCAAAGAAGATTTTGAGATCGGGATATTTTTGGTTAACCATGGAGACAGACTACATTCGCTATGTTCAGAAATGTCACCAGTGTCAGACTAATGCAGATATGACCCGAGTTCCTCCCACCGAACTCCATGTTACTAGTTCACCTTGGTCATTTGTAGCTTGGGGCATGGACATCATTGGTACAACCGAGCCAACATCATCTAATGGACACAAATTCATTCTTGTTGCAATTGACTACATCACCAAGTGGGTCGAAGCCACCTCTCATAAATCGGTGACAAAGAAGGTTGTGGATGACTTTTTCAAAATTCATATTATCTGTAGGTTCAGAATTCTTGAGTCAATCATCACTGATAACGGAACCAACCTATAGTGATTTGATGAGATCATTGTGTGAGAAGTTCAAGATCAGTCATCGAAACTTGACAGCATATAGACCACAAATGAATGAAGAGGTTGAGGTTGCAAACAAAAACATCAAGAGGATACTGTGCAAGATGAATCACAAGCATTGGCATGAAAAGCTACCCTTTGCCTTGCTGGGATATCGTACTACCATCAGAACTTCTACTGGGGCTACACCTTATTTTTTGGTAAATGGTAATGAAGTTGTGATACCTGCTGAAGTAGTGATACCATCTCTAAGGACTATTTAGGAGGTGGAACTGACTGATGCTAAATGGATACGAATTCGGTCGGAGAATCTGGCATTAATAGACGGAAAAAGGATTAATGTCGTTTGTCATGGTCAACTTTATCAAAATAGAATGGCCAGAGCTTTCATCAAGAAGGTTAGACCCAGACATTTCTTACTTGGGCAACTGGTTTTGAAGCGGATCTTCCCAAATCAAGATGAAGCAAAGGGTAAATTCTCACCAAACTGGCAAGGTCCATACATAGTCTCTCGGTTGTTGACGGGCGGAGCACTTATATTTGCAGAAATGGATGGAGAAGTCTGGCCCAAACCTATCAACTCAAATGTTGTGAAGAGATACTACATCTAAGTTTGTTTCATGCTCTTTTACTTTGGAACTACGTCAGACCTGATTCCCGTTTGAGAGGGGATACGTAGGCGCTCCTATGGAGTTCGGTCTTATCATAATAAAAATATTTTTCCCCATTAATTGTGTAACTGGGGCAGAATTTTTGAGAGGGTCTCAAAAATTCCATCAAAGAGCATTTTCCTTGCAAAATCTCGATACTTGGCAGAATTTTTGAAAGGAACTCGAAAATTCCATCAAAAGCATTACTTCTTGCAAATCAGTTGTTGGGGCAAAATTTTTGAGAGGGTATCAAAAATTCCTTCAACGAGTATTTCCGCGCAAATCAAGATTGGGCAAATCCTCTCAAAAATTCACAGCAATCAAAGCCACAATCGCCAACAAAAATTGAAATAACATAAGTGCTACTGGGGTAGCAATTTTTCGAATGTTTTTCAAAAAAATCGAAGGGACCTTTTCTCTATCAGATGTTGTAAATTCTTAAACTGTGCCATGGTCAGAGATTCAATAGTACTTTTTATATTAACGTTTTCAAAAGCTTTTTCGAACTTTCTCTCCTCTTCTATTTACATTTTCCTCAAAGAAAATGCCCGGAAAGGTCTGGATGGCAAGTCAAAGGGAGCCCGCCGGTCCAAGCAAATCAACCACCCCCATTTATAAACTCACAATCTTTCTTTGAATGCAGAAATGATAGGTACATACAAAAAGGCAATTGCAACATCACCTGACTGTTGTAAGCCCGACAAATCGCCATTCAACGACACCTTCTCCTTACTATAGGACTAAGGGTCAAGATACAAATGGCACTCGATCCTTTCTATAAGGCGAAGTTCCAAGATACTTCATGCCCTCAACTACTATGCATTGTGTTGGATACTGCATTAAGCCCGAGATTGCATTGTGCCCGAAGATTGCATGTGCCCAATACTACATTGAGCCCGAGATTGCATTGTGCCCGAAGATTGCATGTGCCCGATATTGCATTGAGTCCAATATTGCATTGTGCCCGAAGAATGCATGTGCCCGATATTATATTAGCCTGAGAACTGCATGTGTCTGGATACATGTGTACAGAGTTACTATTGAATCAAGTCACAAGATGCTCGAATTACAACAAAACAGATACGCTCTCTTTACTCATATTTATATTTTGAAGGTGTCATAGTCCAAAGGCATCATCTTTCATTGCCTGCGGACTTAATTTATGACCTAATGATTTAATTTATGTATATCATGATCCAAATCTGTCATAGTCTAAAGGCATCATTTTCATGGCCCATTGGATAACATTTCATGACCTGATGATTTAATTTTTGCATATCATGGCCCTAGACATCATAGCCTAAGCCATCATTTTCATAGTTTTAAGGCAAATATCATGGTCGATATGGAAAATTGCATCATTTTTACATTTATCATTTATTTGATATATCTGCTCTAATCACTTTATTTAGTTGTATTACAAGTTACAGATTTGTAGAGACTGATATTTTTCAGATAAGATCAATCGCCATCTCAGCTACGATTACCATGCTTACATGTCTATCGCAACAAAGGCCCTATCAATTCTTTAATTTGCTACTCGTATTACTTCTTTTCATTTGATCCTTGCTTAAGCTTGAAATCGCTCTGTCATGCTTTTCTCCTGCTACTCTAATCTTAACCATTAAAGCTGTTAACATTTCCGTTCGGATATCATACCCTTTTTTTCAATTTTAGGAGCTTCGTTTGTTCCTAAATCTAAAACTACACATGGCATGATTCTAGTAATACCACAGATATGCAGGCGGCTTAATACCAAAGTCTTGGGCGTACCCTTTTCACAATACGTCATTTCAATTGATCCCACTGACATCCTTCGTCGGTCAGACAAAATCGGCTACTAAGTCAACGTTGGTTGCCCAACAATTCATTCTTCATTCTCAAGCAACCAAGGGGCAGCTGTTGACACTCAATTTTGACCAACCTATAACTCTTTCAGAATTGCTATTCGATTAAATACATATTTTTAAAACATATTTCGAGTTTAAAATGTTAATCGATTTTGTCTAAAAATTATATATTCTAGTGTGCATAATTTATAAAAATTATTTTATTTAGTATTAAATTATTTTCATTATTATTAAATTACTATATTTATCAATAGTTAAACTCGAAATAATTACTTTACTTAAATATTTTTAAACTTAGATCTGTATAATTTATATAAAAATATTATAATGTGTAGTATTTTATTAATTGAATAGAATTTCCTTAAGGGCCTGTTTGGAAGGACACTCTGGTAATTGGATTTGGTGTAATTGAGTGTAATTACATTGTCTGTCATGTTTGGTAGAACATATAATTACTTGGTTAGCATGTAATTGGTGTAATTGGCAGGGGGGTTACACTCTTCAATTCACAAGCAGAGACTATAAATTGACGGTAATTACATGGTGTAATTACCAGCTGATTACTTTTAATTTTTTTTTTAATTATTTCTTCTTTTTATTTTAAATTTTAAATTTTAAATTTTTTTACTTCTATTGTTGTAAGTTCTTTTTTTATTTTTATTATTCTAAAACTTTCTAAAAGTCTATGTTTTATTTTATATTATTATATTTCATTTTCTTCTCGTTCTCAACCTTACTTCATGTGATTCGATGCAATTTTTTCATATTATCAATTATCAATTTCTTTATGCCATGCTTATTTTTTCATTAGCATAATTCTATTAGTATTCTAATTTTAAAATTAAAATAGAATTTATTGTTAAGTAAGGTTATAGACTTACGTTTTCTTTTCTTTTTTAAATTAAAAATAAAATCATATTTATGTATGCTGTGTTGAAATTTGCGATAAGAGTATTATGTTAAATTTTTGTTTTGAATTTATAACGTATGTTATATTTTCAGTTTTATTTGTTTTAGTAATATTGAATTCAAAGTGCAAGTCATTTTTTAGTTAGACTTGATAGATTATCTTTTTGTCAAACAATTTAATAATTTATGACATTTTGTTTATATATTAATCTTTTTATCAAACTTGCATTTCACGATGTTCGTAGAAACTTCATACTTTTAGTTTTTATGAACAATTCAATTGAAATATATTAATTTGAAAAAATATAAATCAATTATTTTTTCATATTATTAGTTAAGAACATATGTTAATTAATTAATATATTTTCAAAAAATAATATATATCTTAAATATTTAAT